AACCCAGTGGGACAAAACCGATCAGAAGGGAAAAAGAGTGCATAACTCAATCCAAGCCGTGTGCATAAGCTGCCTCGTTAAAAACCTTTGCTGGAAAACCCAATGGGACCAAAACCAGTCAAAAGGGAAAAAGAGTGCAGCGCACTATTGCTCCCCCTGAAATGAGCAATATAGGTTCCGGAATGGGGCGTCAATCTTGCTTCATATTGGTTCTTCTCATTCCAATGCCGTACACCAATTTCTCAAATGTAGAAGTCGGTAAGGACTTTGTAAACAAATCAGCAAGATTGTCGCATGAGCGAACTTGTCGAACATCGATCTCTCCATTCTTCTGAAGCTCATGTGTATGGAAGAACTTTGGTGATATATGTTTGGTCCTATCACCTTTTATGTATCCGCCCCTTGTTTGCGCTATACAAGCAGCATTGTCTTCGTAAATGACTGTGGGCGTGTCTGTAACTGGATGTAATTGGCAGGAATTTTGTATATGCGAAACAACCGATCGTAGCCAAACACATTCTCTCCCTGCCTCATAAAGGGCTATTATTTCTGAATGATTTGAGGAGGTGGCCACCAATGTCTGTTTGGTAGATCGCCAAGATATACCTGCACCATTATAACAAAACAAATATCCAGTTTGTGAGCGAGCTTTGTGGGGATCAGATCTATATCCCGCATCGGCATAACCAACTAACCCTTGGTTAGTTGCATTCTTTGAATAAAATAATCCCAAATCTGCAGTACCACGGAGATATCTAAAAATATGTTTAACACCATTCCAGTGTCTCCGGGTAGGCTCAGAACTGTATCGCGCAAGCACATTTACCGCAAAAGCGATATCAGGTCGAGTGCATTGTGCTAGATACATTAATGCTCCGATAGCATTGAGATACGGCACTTCAGGGCCAAGTATCTCTTCATTAAATTCTTTAGGTCGGAACGGATCCTTTTCAGGATCTAAATTGCGCACAACCATAGGGGTGCTCAATGAATTAGAAGTTTCCATATTAAACTTTCTGAGCAATCGTTTAGTATATGCAGATTGGTGTATAAGTATGCCGTTATTTTTATACTCAAGCTCAATACCGAGACAGAGTTTGGTTTTTCCAAGGTCCTTGACCTCAAACTCTTTCTTTAAATATTCAGCAGCATTGGCCAACTCTTCAGGAGTGCCAATGAGGTTCATGTCATCTACATAAACCGCAATGATAGCAAATCCGGTTTCTGATCTTTTAATAAAAACGCATGGGCAAATAGGATCATTTTTATAACCTTCCCTGATAAGGTATTCACTCAATCTATGGTACCACATGCGACCGGATTGCTTTAGACCATACAATGATCTCTGTAATTTGATTGAGTGCAGCTCACGAGGAGCGCCAGAGTTTGGCATTTTAAATCCATCGGGAATTTTCATATAAATATCAGAATCTAGTGAACCATATAGATAGGCCGTTACAACGTCCATTAGACGCAGGTCCAGTCCCTCTTGGACGACCATATTGATAAGAAAACGGAAAGTGATCGTATCCATAACTGGTGAATACGTCTCATCATAATCAATCCCAGGCCGCTGGGAGAAACCTTGAGCTACAAGGCGGGCTTTATATCTTACAATTTCATTGTTCTCGTTCCTCTTACGGACAAATACCCATTTATACCCAACGGGCTTTACATTATCCGGAGTTTGAACGATTTGCCCGAATACTTTCCGTTTTTCTAGGGAAGCCAATTCAGATTTCATTGCTTCCTCCCACTTAGGCCAATCATTTCTTTGGCGGCATTCCATTATGGAACGCGGTTCACTATCATAATCATCGTACATAATTTCTTGTGCAACCGAGAATGCAAAAATATTATCGATAATTATCTCATTTCTATCCCATATTTCATTGCAATAACTTATGGGATTCTCGGTATTCCCGGGATTTGATATCGCTTTTTCGATATCAGGCTCAACAGATTTATCTGGAGCATTCTCACTAGGAATCGCCTCATTTGAGGGTTCATTGATTTTCCCCTTTCTTTTTCTAGGAACAACGTCCTTTGATCCAATTGGTCTACCCCGTTTTTGTCGTGGGGGATCATCATTCATTTTCGCATATTCTTCAGGAACAGCGATCCTAGCTGGAACATTCACAGCTGGAATATAAGACTTCGTAACTTTACTGGCATCATTAAATGCATCAGGAAGCTAAGTCTATTGGCAATATTTTGTAAATGAATGATTCTATGGATCTCATTTTCACATTCAGAGGTACGTGGGTCGAGATGAGATAAATGTTGCTCACACCATGTGAGATTCTCGATTGGTTTTTGTTTATCATTATCACGGATATTCTGAATATCCTTACCAATCGGTATAAATAATGTCTCATCAAATTGACAATCCGCAAATCTAGCGGTAAATAAATCACCCGTCATTGGTTCCAAAAACCTAATAATCGACGATGAATCAAACCCAACGTATATGCCAAGTCGGCGTTGGGGACCCATTTTAGTCCTCTGAGGAGGAGGAATTGGCACATGCACAGCGCAACCAAATGTACGAAGGTGCGAAATATCGGGCTCAAAGCCTAATGCCAATTGCATTGGGGAATGCATATGATAAGCAGTTGGGCGTAATTTAATCAGTGCTGATGCATGCAATACTGCATGGCCCCATGCTGCACTAGTGAGTTTAGATCTCATCAGTAAAGTACGAGCAATTATTTGGACGCGTTTAATCAAAGATTCCGCCAGTCCATTTTGAGTGTGAACGTATGCTACTGGGTGCTCGACATTTATTCCCAGTGCTGCACAATACTCATCAAAAGTTTTTGATGTAAATTCTCCGGCATTATCCATCCTTATGTTCTTGATGGGATAATCAGGGAAATGCGCTCGGAGTTTAATAATTTGTGCTAGCAAACGCGCAAATGCAACATTTCGCGTAGATAATAAGCATACGTGGGACCATCTACATGGCCAAAACCATTTCGCGTAGATAATAAGCATACGTGGGACCATCTACATTTCGCGTACAAGATGCGTCCACCAAAACCATAAAATATCTAAATGGCCCACTTGCAGGGTGTATTGGTCCACAAATATCACCATGAATACGTTGTAAAAACGATGGTGATCATAACCGACCTTTTCAATGGAAGGTTTTATAATGAGCTTTCCTTGTGAACATGATTCACAGAAATATTCATTGGACATCAAGATTTTTGTATCTTTTAATGGATGTCCTTTAGTATGTTGTGCAATCCTACGCATCATAGTCGTTCCTGGGTGACCCAGTCGATCATGCCATAACCCGTGTATATCGGGATTAACAAGTTTCCATGGCATAGTGGCGTAGGATTCGAAAGCTCGAATTTGGACACAATACAGTCCAGAAGCTGTTGCTTCGAACTTCTCATGAACAATTCTTTTGTCCATGACATATGATGTGACGCATAGACACTCCACTGTATTTTCAACCAGTGTCTCTAAATGATACCCATTGCGTCTCACATCTTTAAAACTCAGTAGATTCTTGTTCGATCTACCGGATATCAGTGCATTTTCAATATGCAAAGTGGTACCATTAGGCAACACAATTGTTGCGTTCCCGGAGCCATCTATTATTTCCGCGGAACCTGCTATGGTCTTAACTTGTGCCTTGCACAAAGTCACACTCGAGAAATATATTTTATTATCGAATATTGAGTGTGTAGTTGCACTATCGAGTAGGCAATAATCATATTTGTCCATATTTTTCATGTACGTGTATCAAAATCAGCTCGACCTCGGGTATTTATCCTCCAAGGGAGATATGTACATGTGGGTTTATTCAAATCAACTCAATCTTGGGAATCACACCTTCCAAGAGAGATTTATATACAGTGGGTACAAAATAACCCAAAAACCCTTTAAATTTGGACTTGTGATCAATAGCCTCTAAGTTGGCTCTTGACGGGTTTTACCTCGTCTAGCGACTCTACGAGCTTCAGGCTCGGAGATATTTTCAAATATTTGGCCTTTAAATCGGCTTTTGACGGATATTATCACGTCTTGACTCAACGAGCTTCAGGCTCGGAGTTATATTTGTGATTTAGCCTCTAAATCGGCTTTCTTTTCTCAACGAGCTCAGACTCGGAGTTATATTAATGATTTAGCCTCTAAATCGGCTTTCTTGTCTCAACGAGCTTAGACTCGGAGCTATATTAGAGATTTAGCCTCTAAATCGGCTTTCTTGTCTCAACGAGCTTAGACTCGGATCGATATTAAAGATTTAGCCTCTAAATCAGCTTTAAACGGAGATTATTATTTATCCAACTCCATGAGCATCAGGCTCGGAGTTTATATCTTGGCCTCTAAGTCGGCCCACAGATCTGTTGATATATAGCACGTGCTTATAACACCGCTTGGGATTCGCAAGCTTGCAAATACAAATTTCAGCAGCAATTCAGATAGTATATAAGCTATATGCATATACATATACACGAATCCATCATATCCTTTGAGAAATGATAGCGTATAAAATACCGAAGTATTCGCTGATCATTCTCGTTTGTCTTTTCGACAATAGAATCAAGGATCTGAATTTTCGTAAAATAAAATAGAAAGAAAAATACGAAAATAACAAATCCCTATCGAGCAAAATCTCGTGCTGATAACGTGTTATAGAATAAAAACCCAATAGCTCTACAATATTAGTGTATATACATATGTTGATATAAGCAGAAATATTATCGTAATATAAGCTAGAATAGAGGAAAGATGTTTGCTGAACAAAGTTGTTTTGTTAACTATCGAAATAAGACTTGTACATTTCTTTCTCTGCCATGTCTCTATATATACAAGAATTATTTATGCATTGTCATGCTTCTTCAATCTTAGTCTCGAAGGTATTAATATGCTAAGTCCACGTGTAAAGTAAAATGGATTGCTATGCACCATCCATATATTATAATAGAAATAAAGTTATTGGTGGGAATTGTATTTTTTAATTTTTATAAACAGCAGTCAATATACGAGAAATTGAGCAAACCAGCTCAGCGCGAACTAATAATATTATAGACATCATTTAAGATGCTGCCAATTTCCTCCATCAGCATCTATTTCACTCCGATACCAAAACCACCTTTTTGCCTAACACCCTCTCTCTCTCTCTCTCTCTCTCTCTCTCATGTATTGACTAATTGTAGAGAAGAAAGAAGACTTTGTTAGCATGGCGGTTTGTGCTGCTTCAATTGCGATTCTACCCAACGGAAACGTCCGTGCTGGGTTCTGCAACCGCCGTGTACCCGCCCGGGGACTCGCCGTTCGCTCTGATTTGGAAACCAATGTCTCCGACATGAGTGTTAATGGTATACTTCATCACTTCTTTTCATCAATCCAAATTCCAAACACGACCTTCTTTCTTCAATTCTCTGTTTTTTTTTTTTTTTACTTTGATGATCAGCCTGGCCTGATGTTCAAATTTTGGATTTTTGGTAGGTAATTGATTTTTTTTTTTTTGGCTGTTTATTATTTATTACCTTCTTTTATTTCTGCAGTTGTAATGATTTCCTAGCATGTTTCATTTTTCATTTCTGGACTGAGAAAGGGTTCTGATTCTTATGTTATGATTTATGAATTGTTGCTGAAAAATGTGGTTTGAACCGATTTTGACCAATGATTGAAGTGGATTCTGTTTTATATAAATTGAAATAAGTTGACTGGATATAATCTACGGCTAGTGATTTTCAATTTTTTTTTTTTTTTTTTTTTGGTTAAATGAGAAGTAATGGATCAAAGTGACTTAAATAGCTTAAGTGATGTTATTGAAGAGTTGGGAGGCCAAAAATTACCAACTTTTGCTTTTGATTTTGTTATGACTGTGTTGAAATTTGGTCAAGTAATTTCAAAATGCAGCTCCAAAAGGTTTATTTCCACCAGAACCAAAGCATTATAAGGGACCCAAGTTGAAAGTGGCCATCATCGGAGCTGGGCTAGCTGGCATGTCGACTGCCGTTGAGCTTTTGGATCAAGGCCATGAGGTTTTTAATTTTTTTTTTCATTTTCATTTTTGAAATGTAATTGACATATATACTTGCAGAATAAATTAATGTTGCATTGTAGCTCCTCTGTATCTCTTAGGATAATGAGTTTTTATTATTGGTTTTGAATTTGCAGGTGGATATATACGAGTCAAGGTCTTTCATTGGTGGAAAAGTGGGTTCTACTGTAGACAAACAGGGAAACCACATTGAAATGGGACTCCATGTTTTCTTCGGTTGCTATAATAATCTCTTCCGCTTGATGAAAAAGGTATATAGTCGAATTGTTCGTCCACACAGTCTCACACACGTGCCCAATTTTTGCAGGCCAAAGTTTACTTAATGTTAGATACTAATATTTGCCTATTATACACATCTCAAGGAAGAAATTTTATACTTATAAAAGGGATAGAAATGCCTTTTATTATAGAATTCCCTGATATTCATTTATCCATGCACACTGGAAAGAACAACCTGAAGGTGCAGTAGAAAATTACATCTTATGGTAGCAAAAAAGACACAATTGATTTATACAAATGAACTTTATGTATATCTTCTACTTCTGAAGATTGATCATTAATTTTGCTGTGAGATGGTTCTTCTAACTCGCTGGATTAACAAATAATTATCCTAAACGTTGTTTTACTTCCCTCGTAAGTTACAAAGAAGAATTTGCTCAACTATGGTTTGTAGGAAGAAGATCTTAATTGGATAAAAAAAAAATTGTCTCTTGGCTGCTCTTCGATTAAGTGACAATACATGACGCAGTCTCTTTATTACATTAATTGCGAATCTTATTGCATTATGGAATTAAAAGTTCAGACCATTTATCTGATTACTTATTACATATTCTCTCAACGCAGGTAGGTGCTGATAAGAATCTGCTTGTGAAGGATCACATTCACAGTTTTGTCAACAAAGGGGGTGAAATTGGGGGTATGATGAATGTGTAATTCATTCAAAAATTCATATGTTTATTAGTTTTGTCTATTGGCTTGTAGTAGGTTCAAGGAACTATTAGCATGAATCATTTCAATTATTTTCTATGTTAATCTCTCACTGCAGAACTTGATTTTCGACTCCCAATTGGAGCGCCGATACATGGAGTTCGAGCATTTCTTACAACAAATCAGCTCAAGGTAACATTCATGTTTCATTAGCTTTTGCGTGGTCCCGCCGTTTCACTAGACTTGTCTATTTTCATTTCATAATGCTTGTTTGTTCTTCTTTAAACCTTTCTCTCTATAATAATTTGTCTTACCTCAAAATCTATTTAGAGATTACTAAATGCTTTCGCCATTCTGGTTTTGCAGACTTCGGATATAGCAAGAAATGCAGTGGCTCTCGCTTTGAGTCCAGTTGTAAGGGCTCTTGTCGACCCTGATGGAGCATTAAGGGATGTACGAAATCTCGATAATGTCGGTCTGCACTACATCTTTTGATATTTAAATACAAATTTCCCTGTTCCTTGATTATTAGGTTTACGTTTATGTTATTAACTTGGCTATTATGTTCTCATTAACAGATAAGCTTCTCTGACTGGTTTTTGTCCAGAGGAGGGTCCCGCACGAGTATCCAGAGGTTGTGGGATCCTGTCGCCTACGCACTAGGGTTCATTGATTGTGACAATATTAGTGCTCGTTGTATGCTCACTATATTTACGCTTTTTGCCACTAAGACCGAGGCTTCCCTTCTTCGCATGCTTAAAGGTTCTCCAGACGTTTATTTGAGCGGTCCCATCAAAAAGTATATCATGGACAAGGGAGGCAGGTGTGAATGGAATAAAATATTGATGGGATTCTATCAATTATTAATGTCAACTGTATTTTACCAACTCTTTGTTAGTGCAGATTCCATCTAAGGTGGGGATGTCGAGAAATTCTATATGATCGATCTTCTGATGGTGGTGTGTATGTAACCGGGTTTTCCATGTCCAAGGTGCGTCATTATTTTATTTTATTAGTTTGAACTGTGACATAATTGACTAATGATTTTAACCCTTTGTTCAGGCTACTCAAAAGAAAATCGTAAAAGCTGATGCTTATGTAGCAGGTTCAAATTATTACCTTATCTGCATATTTTTTCTCTTGAAGTGGAGTGAACTCAGGGTTGTATATAATTCTATATATTTTATTGCAGCATGTGATGTCCCTGGAATTAAAAGATTACTACCACATAATTGGAGAGAGTTGGAATTCTTTGATAACATCCATAAACTTGTCGGAGTGCCAGTTGTCACAGTGCAGCTACGATATAATGGCTGGGTTACTGAGTTAAAGGACCTGGAATATGCACGGTTAGTACTAACCTTTACTGATTTTGTAAAAAAAATATTATTTATTTTTTATTTTTTTTATAATTGATTCAGTTTTTTTAACTAGACGAATTCTAATTCATTCCAAAATTCTTTTAACTCTGAGATGATCAGGCAATTGAGGCGAGCGACGGGTTTGGATAATTTGCTTTACACTCCAGATGCAGATTTCTCTTGCTTTGCGGACCTTGCACTCACATCACCAGAGGATTATTACCTTGAGGGCCAAGGCTCGTTACTTCAGTAAGAAAAACTTTTGGTCTTTTGTTATTACTTCCAATAGTTGTTTGTCTGTCTATATAAGCATTTTTGTTTTTATTTCCATTTTAACCTATTTATTTGCAGATGTGTCCTTACGCCTGGGGACCCGTACATGCCTCTACCAAATGATGAAATTGTAAAGCGAGTCTCAAAGCAGGTTGGTTGGTGTTGTCTCATTTTGTGACTTCCAATCTATTAAGGCCTTGTTTGGTTGCAAGATAAGATTAGCCAAGATAAGCCATGACAAAATTATTTTGGCGGGTCGACCCGGAAATAATAGGGTTAACCAAACATCAAACTAAACCTTACTATTTAGTTAATCTTGGCTTAATTTTCCCAACCAAACGGGGCTGATGTGATTAAATTCAATATTGTACGCCTTAGAACTTCTCTGTGCGTATTTCCGGAGGGGTCTCATTTCTTTGTTCCTCAAAATGGGATTTTGTATTAGGTTTTGGATTTGTTTCCATCTTCACGAGGTCTTGAAGTTACGTGGTCATCAGTTGTCAAAATTGGACAGTCTTTATATCGTGAAGGTCCCGGTAAAGATCCATTCAGGCCCGACCAGAAAACACCGGTTACAAACTTCTTCCTCGCTGGCTCTTACACTAAACAGGTAGTAATAATACTGCCTCCTTCCATGATTATTACCTACTACTACTACTACTACTCAGATGCAATAGATTAACTCAAATTCCAACCATGGTTTTACAGTCTTTATCAAGAGTATTTCTTTATAATAATCTATTTTTTTTTTTATTTTGGTTAAACCAGGATTATATAGACAGTATGGAAGGAGCGACTCTGTCTGGGAGGCATGCTTCTGCGTACATATGCGACGCAGGAGAAGATTTGATTGCAATGCGTAAAGATTCGGCTGTCACTGAATTGACACAAGTCATGTGATTATTGATTCGAGCAAACTTAAAGAGTAGTTTGCAGTTTGTTGATAGAGCAACCAGTTAATATGATGCCTTCAGTTAGAAATCTGAAAAATGTGGCCGATATTGATTGTACTACTGTTGAAGATTCCCAAAAGAACCTGTAAATTATGGCTCTGATTAGTTCATGAATTTCAAAATAAAGAAAATAAAAATGGAAAGGAAAAGAAAATCAAGGACTTTTGAAATCCCAATTGTGTTTGATTCCTAAGAAAAATGGTGATGAAAAAAATTTTGAAAATTATTTTCCTTAGTTTTGTTTGGTTGTTAAGGGAAAATAATAGAGAAAAATACCAAGTAAAATGAAAATAAAAATGAATTGTTATTAAAAATTAAGACTTCGTTTGAATCATTTTCATTTCAAAATAAATTCTAATCTAAAAAGAGATATTTTTTTTTTACTTTAAAATTAATTCTAAACCAAAAAAGTGTTGGGCAATTCTTTTTCAAGGGTTGATTTTAAATAGTGTAAATAAACTGGGGTTGTTTTGATAGTTGTAAATGAATTGGAGCAGATGGCCGATCTAGCTGGCAACCCTAAAGGGTGTTGGCTCTGTCAACTGACGGCGAATTCAAAGAAAAAATAATAAAATATGTGGAGTATCCTTGTTTTTTTTTTCGGATTTTCAGCTAGTTTTTAGACTCTGATTGGTTTGTGGATTTCAAAATAGGGAAAATGAAAATGCAAAGGAAAATGAAATCAAGAACTTTTGAAATCTCAATTGTGTTTGGTTCATAGGAAAAATGGTGATGAAAATAATTTTGTAGAAAATTATTTTCCTTAGAGTTGTTTGATTCCTACAAAAAAAAAAGAGTAAAATGAAAATGACAATAAATTAGTTCTAGAAACTAAATTAAATAAAAAAATATATAATTTATCTCCAGCTCTGCAGACAACTTCCACACCACCTCACCACCCAGCCAAATTATCTTCTGTCAAATAGGAGAGAGAAAATAGGGTAGATAGAGAGAAGATTTGACAAAAGAGGAGAGAGAGAAGACTTGACGGAGGAGGAGAGAGAGGAGACTTCAGGAAGGAGAGAGAGGGGAGAGAGAAGACTTCACGGAGGAGAAGAGAGAAGGAAGGAGAAGAGATAGAGGGAGGAGAGAGGAGAGAAAAAGGGGGAGAAGAGAGCTCAATAGACATGGCCGACCGAAAATGCTCAAGCGATGAAAAGAGTTTGGCTGGCGGTGGTAGAGAGATAGCGACGGTAGTGATTGCAGGTGTTGTGGCAGGGCCGACCCAAGCCCAAGGCAAGCAAGGCCGTCGCCTTGGGCCTCCAAAACATCGAAAATATTAGAGACTCAAATTTTCATAAACTATCTATATATAAATATACTGAAATGCTATTCATAGAATGTTTTTTACTTGCTTGTAGTGCGATTTATTTCATTTGTAACTTTCCTAAAAAAACTCAAATTCGCCCGCTATTTCGTGTGTTATAATACGAGATTAATTCAACAATTTCGTGTATTTTTACTCGAAATGTATATATTTATCATTATAGAACAAGAACGACGAAACTGTTGGATTGGAAATATTCTTTAGCTTCGTGACATAAAACACGAAATTACACCTTATATTTCGTGGAATTTTACACGAATTTAAGCCAACGATTTGTACAATTTAGTACGAAATCATTAATTGAATCTTTTTTTTTTACTTTAACCAACTTATTTGTTAACACTCAGATAAATAAAATAAATTAACATAAATATTCTTAAACTCAAGTAAAAAAAAATTGACCTAAAAAATCAAATACAAATACAAGTTGGCCTAAAATTCAAATACAAATACAAATTGAACTAAAATTCAAATACAAATACAAATTGAACTAAAATTCATTACAAATACAAATGGACCTAAAATTCCAATACTAATACAAATTGAACTAAAATTCAAATACAAATACAAATTGAACTACCGACCAGACTTTAATTGTTCGTACAAGAGTAGTTGGGGTTTGAAAATTTTGAGTAAGTGCCTCAGGTTTTTAGCTCTATGATGTACCCATGCCGGATGGATAGGTGGTAGAGGACTATTCACGACCAAATTAACAAGCATGAAATGATTGTTGTGCAATGTCACAACAATCATACATGATAAGTGACCACTGACAAAAGTTAGGAAGGTAAGTCATACTCCCTACTTGGGTTAAAAGTACCACTAATGCACTGTACTTTGTAGCAATGTCCAATCTCATTTCATTCATGTCCATCCAATAAGTTTGTAGACAAGGCTCTGAGCTCCGGTCACACTTGCGTATGACCTCAACGTATCCAGCACTGCCAAACATCGTCGTGTACACATTAGCACGCTCGTATAACTCAATAAGAAACTCCCCTCTCACTTGCGTCCATCTTTCTTGATCCCCGTACACGGCTTGAGCAACGCACTGGTACCCACAGTTGGCATCCGCCATCACGTTAACATAATCTTGAATAAGACGGACAATATACTGGGCACGAAAGAATAGAAGTCGATTCCTTCATATTGTAGGGGCAGAAGATTCTTGTGTGGGAATACGAGAACCACAACCTTTCATCTTCGATTGAGGCGTTCCATCAGTGTTTCTCTCAACCTTTGCTTTAGGAATATTTGCACCAGATGAGAATTGGCGACCCTTGGAACCACAAGACGACTTAATTGTCTCCTCATCAATATGATACTGCCATCCGGAAAGGTCTCTCTTTGTCGAGTTATTCTTTCGTCCTTTGGTCTTAACAAATGATGGCTCGGACAGATGCAACGTAGACGGATAAACGATGCCACACAATGAGGCCACGACATTTATCTTACTCGTGTAATTTATCTTCTTCAAATTGCAATTCAGGTCATCAATCTGTCTATCCACAATCGCCTCGCGGTTTACTTGATACTCAGGTAGTTCCGAAGGTTCAACTGCCATAAGTCTGAAATGACGAACGTGTCATTATCTTCCATTTTTTGCACAATTTTGCACGCGCAAGGAGCCCATGAGTATTCCAAAGAAAGTGTGTAAAAATACTCGGATCTTGCATCGTCGGGGACTCCATCTCCAGATGCGAAGCTACAGTATGCTTCGTTATCTTGGATGATAATGAAAAATCGCACTTCAGCTGACTAATTTGGATATAAACTCGGTCCCGAAGTTTGCCTTGCACGTTATTTAAACCTCCGGTCTAATCATTTAACCAACCCTTCGCAGAAGAATGAACACTCTCCACCCTATTCGATTAGAACGACAATCAAAGTATACAACGACAATCAAATTACAAAATAAATATTACTTTTATATAATATATTTTTTCATTTAAATAACTAAAACATGTAATACATGTTGGTGCTCGTGTTATTGCCAAAATGATACACGTTGCGGGTATAGGCTCGGACAAACTTCTCCTTGTATATCAACCACGTATCATTCAAATATTGTATCAGTCTAGGATATCCTGCATACCGTCCAACAATTTCATTGTTATTGTAATGATACTCTTCTTCGGTTTATGATTTCACCAGCTTAGGCCACAACACACGTCGGAATAATAGACCTTGGTCTTTGTTGCCTCCCATAATTTTCGTGCATTTGCCTCAACATTTCTGTTTATATGGAATATACACAACATATGATACGAAACTGGAAAAACATTTGGCAGTGATTTCAAGAGACCCAACTCCCTGTCTGTCAAGATCGCATCAGGTTTGACACCATCTAGCAACTCTCTCAAACAATTCAAAGTCCACTCGTAGGTGTCTGCATCTTCATGCGACATAAATGCAACAGCAATCGTAAAATTCCTCCCAACTGGAGTTATCCCAATTATTTCAATAGAGGCATTCCATATCTACATCAATGTTTTTTTACATATTTAAACGATACAATATATTATAACACAACAATCATAATTTAAACAATCGTAATTTTTACTTACTTATTGGTTTTGTATGTGCAGTCCATCAATATAACATACGGGAACAACCATAGTAACTTAATAGATTCGGGATATGCAAACATAACATCTGTTATTGTGTTGCTCGTTTCACTATCGACGCGATGCCAATATCGATACTCGCCTTGTTGAAAGTTATTCATCAGAAATTGAATAACAGTCATGCACTCCATTTCCTCAGATTTAATCTTGGCCAACTCATTGTAAACATGCTTCATAGAGGTTTGTATCGTCGGATCGTCGGATCATCTTTCCTCAATCTATCCATGATTAGCATTGGCTCACGTGAGAATTTCTCAATTTTTTTTATTCTTGCTTTCTGTTGTGGAGTTATACGACTAGTCGAATCATGTCCGTGAGGAAACAAAGCCGGAGGATGAGTATGCCTGCGATCGCTGACAGTCAACCGCCATAATTCATCAAACCTTGACTTTTTGCCAATCAATTTGAACGGGCAACCACATTTTTTGTTCTCCATTCGTTTGTCGGCCATGTCCGTATTTGTCACATGTCAAATACTGTGCATTCTCCATTCTAGACTGACAAATCAAACGGTGAGAATGACTAATTGTAGTTGCTTTGGCCCAGTTGATTAATTTTTCCCTACTATCGAACACAATATCAACTTGGAAGAAGTGAGAGAAATATAAGTTGTCTTCATATGGCTGCGTAAAAAAAATTAAGTTAGATACTTGCACAAAAAAAAAACACAAAAAAAAACTAGGGATTTCGTGTACAAATGTACACGAAATTAATGAGAAATGACTTATTTCGCACTGTAACCGAAAAAAAATGCACTATGAATAGTAAGCCCCTAAATATATGTACATTTTTCTTTAAAATTTGTCTTCGGCTAAGTTTGCAAAAGAATTCGTATTGTACAACGGAAGTCGTGCGTTCGAACCCCGTGTAAAACAATAATAGGTTTTTTGGTTTTGTGTTTGGAAAGGCTGTCTTTTTCGTTTATTTCTTTTTTACATTTAGATGTGCCAATCTAATAAAGCCCAAAACATAAATAAGAAAACATAATGCCAAGCTAAAGGACCCAAAATGGTAAGCAAATAATCGAGTTTTTTAACACAAAATTCTCATGTTTCATTTTTATTCCTAGATTTTTTTATGGTTTTTGTATTTGAATTTAATAATCTGGCTCTTTATTATTTTAGAATTAATCACAAAAAGATCTATATGCATAAAAAACAAAATCTTGCAAAAAATATGTTGAAAATGAAGTTATGGACTTGTGGTTGAGGAATGA